ACATGTGTTAATGTAGTCATGATACACTTCCAAGCAGAAAGCACCGACTTTAGGAGGAATGGGGGAATACCAGATTTCCTTAACAGGGAAAGAAGGGGAATGGGAAGAAGAGAAGGCTACAAGTGGATTAATAAAAAATTTACAAGTGAAGAGCCCAACATGACTTAGAGTCCACACCCTACTATCCATACCCCCATCCCCATGAACCACAGGATTCAGTAGTGTAAGCAGAGTAGACACACTGGGAATTTCAGATTCTCTATGGTTTCTAGTGAAGCCCAAGTTCCAGTTCAACTCAAGAAGGGAGAGAGGGGAACTAATAAATTGTAACACTGGTCTACCTTTGAGATTGGAAAGAGTGTAAAGGGAGGGAAAAATCTCCTTAAAAGGAGACTCCCCAAGCCAAATATCTTCCCAAAGCCTAATCTTCTGACCTGAGACCTAGTCATACCTGATGTGGCTGAGGAAAATAGGAAGAGAGTCATGGATGGATTTCCAAGGAGTAGCTATGGTACCTCTATGAAGACAACCAGCACCCCATCCGTTGTTTGACAGCATGTGCACACTTGCCACCACTTTATGCCAAAGTCTTTGACTTTCTTTCGAAAATCTCCAAAGCCATTTACTCAATGCCTGATTCTTTAATCTCAAATTTCCAATCCCCAATCCCCCTTTCCAATTTTAATTTTATCACCTTCTCCCAACTAAGCAAGTGATCTTTCTTTCCTTCCCCAGGTTCCCATAAGAAGTCTCTCACAATCTTTTCAATTTTTTTCACCACAACTTGGGGCGTCCTAAAAACCGACATATAATAAATAGGAAGGTTAGCTAAGGTGTATTTGATTAAAGTTACTCCCAGAGAAATATAATTATGTTTCCATCCAGCTAGTCGCTTCTCAAACCTTTCCACCACCGGGTTCTAAAAGCTAAGTGACTTTGAGAATAACAATCAACCATYCACTGCTGAAGTCACTTTCCTTGTTGAAGAAGGTTATGCGCAGCAAAGAGACAAGTTGTAATGTTCCTGACCTAGGGCGAACCAGTTCTCTCCATCGACTGACCAAAAACGAAGGTGAAGAGTCACGAACAATGCTGAGGTGCTTTACCAACTGACGTAGGTCAGGAGCATGGCTCTGATACCATGTTTCGACTGCTGCTACAGTAGTCCGAACAGGAAGAGGAGAAGAAGAAGAAGAATAAGAGGGGTCAGTCGAAAATCTGATGGTTAACCCATCCAGTCGACCCCCTTAATCTATATTAGATTCWWATVATGTTWACAAARAYMRAAATGCCCTTACTTAAGTGTGGGGCAGAGTAACTCTAATAACACTGCCACATAAGCAAGTTACTTAATAAACAGAAGAAGACTAAACTACCCCTATTCGGCACATCTTAACAGTAATAAATCTTTTTATTATTCTTCTTCAAAAAAAATCTTTCAATTCAAAGGCCTCTATGAACTCATTAAATTTTCTCATGCTTGTAGTGACCCTTCTCCTACTCCCATTTGATTCTTCAACAAACCTGATTATGTTAAAATCTCCCCCTATACACCACAGTCCTTTCCCACAGCCCTCTAATGTTTGTTTGCTAACTCATCCCAAAACAGCTTTCCTTCTCTGTAAGAGTTCGGCCCATACACATTTGTGAGAACCCATTCAAACCCTTCTCTGTAAGAGTTTGGCACTGCACGGTTTCGTCCCTCCAGATTGTCATAATGCCCCCCGAAGCTCCCCAAGATGGGGCAAAGGTCCACCTAATATTCCTCTCTCCCCAAAAGCCTTTGATCCAAATGCTATCAACCTCCTGGATTTTGGACTCCTAAATCAGCACTAAATCAGGTTTTTCTTTCCTCAACATTTCCTTGATTACTCTTCTCTTTGTGGCACTCCCTAAACCCCTCAAATTCCAACTAATGATCTTCATGGTCTCAAATGATGTTTATCCCCTACCCCTGGCCTATAAGGAAATATGAAATTTCGGGTTAGAGATGAGCCAAACCCAACCAATTTATAATGCTAATACGCATGAAAGATGTAGGATCAAAGAAACCTTGTTTCACATAGAAAAAGGAATAAAGAATGGGATGCAAGAATACTGCAACTGCACTTAACTATGTGACTAGAAATCATCAACATCATCATCATCTAAACCTTGTCCCAGTTATGTTGGGTTGGCTACACAAATCTTTTTTCACCAATCCATTCTATTCAGTGCCATATGCCCATGTCCAAAGTTAAACTATGGGAACCCATGCCCCTTTTGGTATGCCCCTAGCTCTTTGAGTGCCTCCATCTTGTAACAGATTGCTTCTTCTTACTGGTTTCGTAGATGGTCTTCTCTGCACATGCATAAACCATCTTAGTCTATTTCCCTCATTTTATCACCTATTGGAGCTGCTCCTAGGTTCCTTCAAATAAGTCATTTCTGACTAGAAATAATAATAATAATAATAATAAAATTTCTATAGGGCTCTTTCCAAGACAAGAACAAACTACAAAGAATTATAGTGCTTTTGCATACCTATTGGAACTCTCAGATTTCAAATTATAAGAATTAAGAAATATGAGATTAAGAAGTAACATGCAATAAGATGATTGTAGTTCCTATCATTTCCAGTAACACTCATGGCTATTTGAGCATACAACTTATGAGTGCACACAGTATAGAAGAGTTTCAAAGCCACCTAGTGTTTTTCCTTCCTACAGGGTACAGATGTTTTTATTATTGGTAGGCACAACTGTGTACTCATGATTAATCTAAATCACACCAATCAGGGCATTAACATTGAAAGTGAGGACTCTAAACTCCAAGGTTATGAAACTAAATCCAGCCATCCTTTGTACTTCTCAATTACTATTATAGGCGCCTAAGTGGGTTTACCCCCTCTCTGTTTCCTAATTTTAATCTTCAGTCTTTCCAGCAATGTGCAGACCAAAACCTTGATATTTGGAAGTGTTGAACCAAACTCCCAGTCCCCCTTTTTGATCTGCAACCCCCCCCCCAATCCACTCTCTAAATACTAGGTTAATTTTTTTAGAATGCATAGACCTGCACTTGACCTGTTCCCGCAATACACGTATCCACTCAATTTCTTCTACTCCAATCTTTGTTGTATCCGCTTCTTACAGCTCCTTAGCCCTTCAAATCTGTCCACTGAACCCTTGCCTCTGCAAATTCAATTTATTGGGTTTCTAGTACAAATCATAGTTGTCCCACTGACTGGAACCAGAAAATAACAACAAATGTAAATCCCGGCATGCAATGAACTCTTTACCCTATGCTCTTCAACCATTCTACCTTTTATTGGCCTACAACAATAGGGAGAATTATGTGGAGATGTGCTCGTGTTGCCTTGATTTGGACTCTTTGGGAAGAAAGGAATATTAGAAT